ATGAACATATTATTGCTTATAATAATCTATCTAATAAAACACAAATTGATTATTTTTTTATGTTATGAGAAAAGATATCGTTGAGAGTGTAAAGATTGTAAGATAATTTTAAGTGAAAATTCAAGTGCTCAACTTCGATTATTAGTTTTGGATTCTAAGATGAGGTATTGTAAGATAGTTAATACAAAAAAAACATTGTCGTACAATTAGATAGATGCAACTAAAAGGCAAAATTATTTTTATGTGTAAACTTCAAGGTTTCAAGATTTTGGTTGTTTATGAAGAGGTACGTGGAGAATCAAAAGGAAAAGTTTTTATAAATAAAAATAGTTGGTGGTCGAATAATAATGTGCAATAAAAGATAAAATATAAGTGTTAAAAATTGGTTTAAATCTACAAGCTTAAAACATTGAGAAAAATATTAGATGGCTTGTAGAAAGTCTAAGAGAACAAATTGTGACACTAAAAAATTTGCTTTTAGGCTTCGTTTGATATTGCAATCTTCTTCTCTTCCATTCCAGGGAATAATCATCGTTCGTTTGGCCCTTTGATTTCTCTGAAAATGCTTCCACGCGAATGTCATTTATTTCCATTTTTGTATGCGATAGAATAGCTCCGTTTCGCTGTTTACAGAGCATTCCGTTGTTTCGGAAAAAAAAAAAACAGTTGCACAGTACCTTTAGCCGGTGTGGACGACGAGAGTAGAAGAAAAAGTCATTTGAGGGCATTTATGAAGAAGAATGGAAATGGAAATGGATATGGAGTAAGAGGAGTGTAAAAACGAGGGCATTTATGATAGCACTCTCCACTGGTGAGGAAAGAGCAGATCAAACAAATGGGATGAAAGCAATCCGTACGAGGGTCTGCATTGGGAGTTTCCCACGAAGAAGAATGGAAATGGATATGGAGTAAGAGGAGTGTAAAAAATAAAGTGGTTTTGGGGAAGAAGATGATTAACAGTGGGCAAAGAGCTCCCTGGTACCCTTGATTTGAAATTAAAAAAAATATTTTTTTGTTTTCTACATCACATCATGATTATGTTTATTATTTGGAAATGTAATATGATATGTTTATTATTTCTAAATAAATTTTTAAAAATGAATTTCTCTTTAATCTTGAATAAACAACTCAAAAAATTTAATGCGTTTAATTTTAACTTAACCAAATACTATCTGAATTTAGCAGTACGTTGATTCCATAATTTAAATTTATTGTTATTTAAATTTTTTTCTATAAACAATTTAATAATTTAGATATGATTGTTATAATTTAGAAATAATAGCATTATTATCGTCTTTTATATTAAAAATTATTAATACTTCTGTTTAAAAGCTCACAAAAGTTTTTATCCTAATGCTAGCATCATTTTAAAGACCAAACTTAATACCAGCATTTTTTGTTAAGTTGCTTTTAGAAGGACTTTTGCAAAAGAAGTCCTCTCAACTAAGGCCTTGGTTATGCTTATAATAGATTAGATGCTACAGGGGGTGAAAAATAAATGTATAAATTAGCCAAACAAAGAGAAAAGAAAAATAAAGCTTTAATTCAAGTAAAGTGTATTAAAGATGAAAATTTAAAAAGTATTTTTCTTAGAGGAAGATATTCAAAATAGGTGGATGAGCTATTCTAATAGACTTTTCAATGAAACTTTGGAAAATATGACTAACCTTAGTGGCCCTAATATCCTTAATAATAATAAAATATTTTATTTTTACTATCGCATTAGGAAAAAAGAAGTTGAGGGGGCTTTAAAGAAAATTAAGGGTGAAAAATCAGTAGGATCCGATGATATCCCAATTGAAATGTGAAAATATTTCGGAGATTTGAGGGTTTTTGGCTTACTAAACTCTTTAATATTATTTTAAAAACTAAAAAGATGCGTGAGGAGTGGAGGAAGAGTATCTTAGTTCCCATTTTGAAAATAAAAGGGATGTATAAGAGTGTGCAAATTGTAGAGAAACTTAGTTTATGTATCATACTTTAAAATTTTGGAAAGGTTAATTGAACATAAATTAAGACGTGATACAAAAATTTCTTATAATCAGTTTAGATTTATGCCAAGTAGTTTTACAATGGAAGCCATACATTTATTGCGAGGTTTGCTGGAGAAGCACAGAGAGAATAAGGAGGATCTACATATGATTTTATAGATTTAGAAAAATCTTACGAAAGGTTCGAAGAGATGTTCTTTGGAGTTCCGAAGAATAAAGAGTTCCAGAGAAGAAAGCTGTTGATATGATTTATATTCAAGTCGTTCAAGATGTGTATACTAGAATTCTTACTTGTGTTCGAACAGAAGGAGGATCAATCAAGTATCTATTTCAGTGACATTACATCAGGGATGGGCTTTAAGCCCATATCTTTTTGCCTTAGGTTTGGATGCTCTTATTGGATATTTACAAGAGGATGTACATTGGTGTATGCTTTTCGCTTATGAAATCCTTTAGGTGGATAATACTAAAGAAAGAATTCAGGATAAACTTGAATTATAGAGGTCTATATTGGAGTCTAAAGGCCTTGGTTTGAGTAGATCTAAAATTGAATACATCGAATGTGATTTTAGCAGTAGCAGCTCCAGTGGCAGAGTTGTAACTATGAGTGATCAAATCATTAAAATGTGGATATCTCAGCTCTATACTTCAATGTGATGAGTTATAGATAGGGATGTTATTAGAGAATTCAAGTTGGTTTGTTGAAGTGAAGGAATGCATCGGGCCTATTGTGTGATAGAAATGTACCGCTTAGGCTGAAAGGAAAATTTAATAAGATGATGGGGAGACCTGAAATACTCTATGACGCAAAATGTTGGCTTTTAAAAGAGAAGCATAAAACAAGGTTAAGTGTTGTTAAGCTGAGAATGCTTAGGTGGATGAGTGGCTTGACCCTCTGAGACAAAAAAATGAATATATTAGTGATAGTGTTGGTGTAGCTCCAGTGGCAGACAAAGTTAGACAGACTCGTCTTAGATGGTTTGGTTAGATGGTTTGGTCACGTTAAACGCCGACCATCTGATGATTCTGTTAGGAGAGTAGATGTTTAAGATTAGACCTATGTTAAGAAAGACAAAAGTAGACCTAAAAAGACATGGGCATATTGTATAAAAAATAATCTTAATCTATTAGAATCAAATGAAAATTTGACACTCAATTGAATGCAATGGAGGAAAAAGATTCATATAGCCGAACCCACTTCGTGTGATAAAGGCTTGTTGTTGTTGTTGTTGAATAAATTAATAAATTAATCAAAGAATCATATCTAAATTATCTGAATTGTTGAGGTATTATGATATAACTATAATATAATATAATATAATATAATATATATTAATAACACTTAATAAGATATTATGCTATGCCTTTTTTACTTGATTGAGGCATTGCCTCAAACAGTGCGAGGTGTACGCCTAAGCCTCACCGGTGACAACGAGGCTTAAGCCTCAAGTTTTTTTGTGCACCTCAGTTTGAGGTGCGTCTAGAGGTGTATGCTTTGAGGACCTTTTTAAACAATGATTTATATATACTTAATTAACTTGCTTAAAGCTTATCTTCATTCTTTCCTTGTTTTATTTTCCTCCCATTTTTCTTATAGCCAAAGCCTGCTCACTGCCATAGGCTTGGCCATGCTCACAGCCACAGTAAAATGGGAGAAAATAAGAGTTGCTACTTTGATTTAATGAAGCTAAATATATATATTTATACATGCACATATATCTTAATTAACCTTATCTAAACACCTCCAGTTTTTTCTCTAAACGCGTCGCTTTTCCTTCCAGATGCTTAATTGAGAGAGATCAACTCTCTGATCTCCGATGCAGCTCTGTATTGTCTTAGGGGAACGCCCAGGTTGCGGTACAGGAGTGTAAACGAAGAGAAATAGGAATGGTTAAGGTATGATTATATAAAAATTTATAATAGTTCAACCCAATTAATCTCATCCGGCCAATTCATTTTCCTGCTTATGCATGCAAATATAAGTGAAAATGCCATCTGTTATGGTGCCTGGAAAAGAAAAGGATAATGGTGTCGCAATATAATTTAAATATATTTAAATTTTTTTTTGTATATCAAGTCTTCTTTCATTTCTCGAGGGTGAAGTAAGACCAAGCCCATGAGCTTATTATCCTAGGTACCCAATTCCTTTAGTTGGATTCATAGCCTACTAATCTTTCTATCAAGTTTGTCTAAATCGAGTGTATAATTTTATCATTTTGAAAATCTTTGATAGGTGCAAAAAATGGGGTATAATTTTAAACGCAAATGGAATTTACAATTTTGGTCAATTTTGTTACAATACCCCATCGTGTGTTTGGAAAAGGCCTGAAAGTAATGGAACCAAAACTAAGGAACAACAAAATGTTAAATCTGAAGCCATTGGTTGTAGCACTAATCAATGTCAAAGCAATAATTATGTTTTTCTGTTTGGTTTGGTGAAAAAGGAATGCAGCTTGTGGCCAGGGTTGGCGGTTGGGGGCAGCTGTGGCTGGGTTGGTGGGGTGGCAGTGGCGGCTGGTTTCCAGCAGGGGTGGCAGTGGCAATGGCAGCGAGTGGCAAGTGAGTTATTGTGGCTGCGACAGTCAGCGGGCGTTAGCGGCTGGTGGTGCTGGTGGTGGGCGGCAGTGAGCAATATTTTACAGAAAGCAGTGCATTTGGAATTTGCCCAAATTGAGAAACTGTCAAATACACTGGAATTGAACTAGAGAATGAATTCCAAATGTTTTGTAATTTTACACTTCATTTATTTTTCTTTTGGTCAAATGTATGGATTTTCAAAATTTTTGCAAAAGGAATGCATTGCATTTCTTCTATTGCCGACCAAACAATTCCTAGATGATTTATCCTGTTCTCTAAATGGTTTAAAATGCATCATATTTTGCGTAGTATAAAGCAGTAAACTGTTGGATTATAAGCTATTTTTATATTTTATTTATTATTCCTTTCCTCCTTTTATTGGTTATCAATAACAATACTGCTTTATAAATGACAAGAAGCATTTTATAACAGGTTCTTTTGGAGCCTGGAACTCCACATGGTTCGAAAATTATACGGCAGATGCGATCTTATATTCTTTGGATGGCTAAAAGAGTGCGCAAATCATCTCTCTCAAATTTGCTTTTTTGCACCATTGGTTCCAGTGTTAAGTTTTATCATGTTTAATATCTTTTATCTTCTTTTTTCAGAAATGCCGAAAGAGTAAGGAATCAAATGAAGTTCCAAGTGCCGAAAAAAGTATTGTTGTTGATATTGAATCTTCAAGAAATGATGCATTTGTTGTTGCTCCAGTGTGTAATGTTGAAAATTGTTTCCAAATTATTTATACATTTTTTTATAAAAATGTCTTGTTAATTGGATATTGTATGCTAATTTTACAGTGTTCCCATGATGGCCAATGCCCCTTGGAGAATTCTGGTAAATATTGCCATTTCGTGCAAAGAATAGAGAGGACATCATCTCAACGCTTATATAAGGTCTACACATCATTGATATCTTTACCTGTATTCCATTTTGTTTTTCTGTTACATGTGGCCAGATGCACACAGTGGTACCTGTGAGGTTTATTTATTTATTTTTTAGTGGAGGGGGGAGTATGGGTGACTAAATGATGCTAAAGGGATAATGTAAAGTTATTTTTTTAGGCGACCAGCTTTAGAAGTGCAAGCAGTACGTATTTACATCTAAAGTGTAAATAAATTGACAGTGACCTCAAAATATATCTGATGTTTGACATTGTATTCTGTCTCTACTATGCGTGCTCTTATTTAATATGCTTTTGTATCTATAAATTTATGTAGTCAACAGTCGGCATACAATTTTGTTGAAAAATCATAACATGAATCCTTTAAATCTTTGTGTAAATACTAGGGCATCCTTTGAAAGTGACGTGCTGTATAACCTGAATACGATAAAAAAATGTGCAAAGACCACTGCACGAGCGCCCGAGGATAGTGTTAATTAAGCAATATTTCCCGAATTATGGACGAATGCATACAAAAACATTAGCCTCCGAAATTAATATTAGGATAAGATCTTGGAATATAAGTACACTCATTATTAAATTAGTGAATTAGTAGATATTATGGTTTATAGGAAGATAAATATATTTTGCATTCATGTTAAAATTTATTAGCATTGATTTTTTTACTTTTCCTATATTTCCTGTTTTATATTTTTCTTTCAGATTTATGTATTTCCTCTTTGTATGTCTTTTCTATTTTATATGTTTCCCATGTTAAGAGTCATGTAATATGTACTTATACCTCGCCTTTCATATCAATAAGATCATCTTGCTCAATTCCCAAAATTAACATGGTAACAGAGCCAAGTTTGTAATCCTAGCTGCTGTCGGGACATCCACCTAGCCACCGACACTTCCTACAGGACATCCACCTAGCCGCAACCTTTTTCCTATATTTTTTTTTTCAGCCCTCGGAGGTATCAACCGATCCTTGCAGATTTTTCCAGTCGTTGGACCTCTTGCAGGTTTTTTTCGGCAGCTGTTCCTTTATGCAGGTTATTCCTGAAGGTCTAGCCGTCAGTGGTATCAGTCGATTCTTTCTCTCGATTTTTTCAGACATTCTTCTTAGAGGTTCAATTGTTGATCCTTCCAGCAACTTTTCTAGTTACTGGACCTCCTTCTGTAGCCGGAATCCTTTTGTCTTGAAATTTAAACCTCACCTTTGGTATAGTCAGATTCATGGCGGCCTCCTCCTCCGAGCCTCCTTCCAATGGTATATTTGAGTCCACAAGAGGATCAATAATGACCTCAGTCCTTTCGCAGAATGGAGGACCTGAAAATCACATGAACTTCCTGATCACCACCCATAAACTCAACAACTCTAATTTCTTCTAATGGTCTCAAGTAGTGTCAATGGAGGACCTGAAAATCATATGAACTTCCTGATCACCACCCATAAACTCTAATTTCTTCTAATGGTCTCAAGTAGTGTCATTGTTCGTCAAAGGACCGAGAAATTCGACCATCTCACAGGTATGATTAGTGAACCTCCGAAGACTGATCTGACGTATGCAGCGTGGAAAGTGGAGAATTCTATGGTTGATTAATTATGTAGAAACTTTGATTGGCCATTCATACCCGTTCTTCCTTCTACAAGTGTCCTATGGACCGTCGTTCGCGATACCCACTCAGACATAGGTAATTCTGGCCAACTCTATGAAGTTTCTAAGAAGATCCACGAGCCTAAACAGGGATCAAGGATGGTGACTCAGTATTATAATGACTAGATTACCTTATGGATGGAATGCGATCTCTACTGCGATTACACTTGGGATTTGTGGCTGATCTTTCCCTTTTCCTTATTAGTTTTAAACTGTTAAAAAAAATTACCTTGCCTCAGCCACAAAAAATAACTTTTTGTATTTATTTTATATTTTGGGGCCATTTTAATTTTAAAATATAATCGAAATTGGTGGCCTTTATCCTTGAATGAATACATTGGAGTCCCAATGATATTCTTCATTAAATATAGATCGCAGGTAGTTGTATTCCTTAAAATTTGCAACAGTATGATTCATGCTCAATTTCAAACTAAAATACAAGTTTTGGAGAAACAATGTGAAAGATTATTTTGCTGCAATCCTTTGTGATTATCTTTGAAATTAGGGGATAATTCATCAAATTTTGTGTTGACAAACAATAATAAAATGGTGTAACTAAAAAGAAAAAAATATGCACATTCTTAAGATTGCCATGTCACTTGTTCTCATTACGAACTCATAAACAGTTTTGGTAGATATTTTTCTTAACGAGATATCTCATTTACCCAACTTTCAAATTATTAGGTTGTCCTAAGCTTTCACTCTAGCAGTAGGATTATCTCCAATATTTTGATAAAAATGTACTTATTTTTCATATGGCCATATTCATTCTCAAAAGAGTAAACTTGATCCCCTGGTCATCATATGCATGGTGTTATGATCTTCCTCTAATCAGGAAGGGTATGAGAGTTCTACCATTAAAAGATTGTGTTTCTTAATTCCATATATGGCAACATTTTTATGCATCAACAATATTTATGATATCCGAACGTTGATATTGAAGGGGATAATATTTGTCAATAATATGAACATTAACTATATTTTATACAATTGTCAGTATGCTTGAAACCTCCATGTTGACCGTGTACAATCCCACCACTGCACTTAGATGCTTATTTATTCTAGGTGGTGGAAAGCAAAAAAGGGGAACACCTAATATCTTCAGCAGGGTCAACACTGTAGCCATAGATTGGATGCATATTTGACATAATTTCTCACTAAACACCATATCTAGGACTTAATATCGTATGAAGGTTTTTCACCTAACTTTTGTGCATTTGCTAAGAATCTCAACCAAGTAATTGTCCCAAGGTAAATTATGCGGCTATCAAAATTCCAATGTATAAAATTGTTATCTCAAAGGAAAATTTATGCTCTTAGAATAAAATTTGTGGTGCTATTAAGCTACCACCAAGAATGTCTTAGGTCTTCAGAAAGATGAAGACTGTCACTCTAGAGACTCCATAAATGTAGGTGCAGGCTAGTGGAAAATGAAAGTTATTCTCAAAGGACAGTGTAACGTTGGAATAAACTAGAAGACATCAATGGAAAATTTTAAACACACAAAAATAACTATTACTTGAATTTTAATTCCACAATTATTATCTCAGTTGTGTTAAGTTTGAACAAAATTAAAAACTATAGCAAACATTAATTAAGTATGTCAAAAAAATTGTTCATTGATTTGTTAGTATGTTTGATGATTAAAAATTACAGAAGTAAAGAAAATCCAATTTCAAGCATCATTCTAATATAAGGATATGAGTTCACCCACATTTAGTAGTTGCATTTTATTGTTCTTAAAGGAATCATATATTCAACATGCACAAACAAGATTGAAACTAGAATTATAAAGATAATAAAAATTTTCGTTTAGATGCTTAGAATAACTTTTTGTTAACTCTTCATGAATCATGCTTTGCTCTTTTAAGAAGGATGCCCATAAGATTTCAAATTCTTGATTCGAATCTTCTTGGATGCAATGTTAAATCGGCAAGCTGTGCTTGAAAAATGCAATCAGAACCCTATTTTTACCATCACATTTAAAAAAATGCCTTCATAAACTGCTTTGAAAATTTTCTGATAAAGTACAACTTATGCCATTGCCAAATAAAATATAGAGGAAGTAGAAAATTCTAAATAAAAAACGGCCAAATTATAGGTGCCAATAAAATTGCTTATCGTTGAAAGTTCTTAAGAAAATTGCATCTTCGCTTAGACCACCAAAAAATGTTTGACCTATGACTATAGCACCACTTTAACAGAAGGAATGCACTTGAGATGTTAGTTGATTGCAAATTTATCTCGATTATTAGATTAAAAAAATATTTTTTAATATTTTATAGAGGACGGGGTGCACTACACTTGATCCAAGCTAGCCAAATCAAATAATTGATTTTAAAAGACAGGTCAAATCTTGTCTTTAAATGCATTCATCATTGCAGACACGAACAAATGAAAATAAATAGTAAATAATAAAACTTGAATAAAAATGCATAGAATATTGATTTGCTTAATATTTTTGTTGATTGTAAACTTTTAATCAATCATTAAGATTTCTTCATCTATTATTGTCTTTAAACGTTTGTTAGATATGATAGGCACATTGTTTCATACATTTCCTTGAAAAAGTGATAATTCTTGATCTCCATTTATAGTATTATGTGCAAGTATATATGAAACTTGATTTCTGTATATGATATATCATTTGCCTATGGGATAACTTTGGCATTGTTTTCTCTAAATTTTTCTTTTCATGCAATTAGAATATGAGATCCACATATAATACTTGTTATTCTATTTAATACCTGATCGACTTAGGAAATTTATTTGCAAAGCGTTCATACTTTTTTTATGCTACTTTTTCATTGATTTCTGTTGAATTGTGTTACGTGTTGATTTATCATCTTGGAATTTCATTGGCTATTTTCCATCATTGCAGCGGTCTAAGGGAGAACCATTGCGTGGTTTTGAGGATGAGAAGTTTTGTTTTGTTGCTTTAAAGCGCGGAAAAAGGCCAGAGTAAGTTCATTAATGCATGAATGATGTATATAATTTATCCTAAATGACTAATTTTTGCTTTCTTATGTCCATGCTTTTAGTAAATGTTTTATTTATGTGCATTGTCGAAGTCAATACTGTTTCTCGCCCTTTTGTTTTTATGAAATATAGCTTCAGTTATTATATTTATTTACCGTCTTCATAATACTAATTATGAGGCAATATAATTAGAATATAAAGTTAATATTTAGGTGATAATTTTAAATCTATTATATATCAAACTTAAGATAAGAGTAGTTTTAATTACCTTAAATCTATTATATATCAAACTTAAGATAAGAGTATAGAAAATGTAGGGTTAAGACGGAGATTAAAATAAAGTGTTGTGGACGCAGAAGATTATGGAGAGTTGAAGGATAGATTTTATTCCTAATTAGCCTTATATAGACCAGAGTAATTAGTTGTGAAGTTATCATTGATAAAAAAGTTTAATGTTGTTGAGGAATTTTGTCCCCGTTAGGTCGCCCAGACTGCTGACCATATGGGTCCCACAAGTTCATTTTGTAGAAGCTACTGTTTCCTATTTCAACTTCATTTTTTTTATTCCCTTTTTATTATGCTTTATGTTTTTCCTTCATTTTTTGTGGTATAAGGGGAAAGATTGTAATTTGAATACGAAGAAATAGTATAATATAGTTTCTCCAACTTTCCTGTTACCAGAGTAGGTTTGGCTGGCCGTGTATAGCTTGCTCATTTGCATCGTTTGTGTCGTATGCATCTCTGCATATTGTTGTATGTGAAGTCTGTGATCAGTGAAGTCTGCTTTGCCTTCATCTGCGTCATTTGCAACGTCATCCTGCATCATCTTCTTTACCTTGCATCGTCTGTGACGTCTTCTTTCTGCATTGTTTGCAAGATTTTCTTCCTACGAAGTTTGTTTTGTCTTCCTCTGCAACATCTTATTCCTACTTCATCTGCGACGGAATTAGGGGCTTTCATTTGCGTCAGCTTGTTTGATAGCTTCATCTTCTTCCTGTTCTACTAAGAAAGGAAACAAACCTAGCTCTTTTCTACAGCCGCGAGAGCCTCTCTAATAGTTATCAAGCAGTCAAAATCCTCCATGCAGGCCCTCCACTGCTCCTTATATAGTCTTTAGACTCCACTTCTGTGGCAAACAATAGCCAACTTCTTTATCTATCCCTAAACATGTATAGGGTTTATGGCCAAGTATAGAATGAAGGCGTGTACTTCTACCTCGGAGGTTAGCTCTAAATCAGAGATTGGAATTCTATCTTAACAACCCCTAAACTCTCTTTTTTAATCACAAACCATAAACTCAGTGGCCATAACTTTCTTCAATAGTCTCAATTTGTGTTTATGTACATTTATGGAAAAGAGAAAAAGGACTTCTTGAGCTCATTGACATCGCTCATTGAAGATCCAAGATCATATGGTCATTGGAAACCCAAAATCCAAGATCATATGATTACAAAAGTTGGAAAAAATTTCTCGCTTTAAAGTGCAACATAGGAGATTTTGAAAGTAACTCGTGTACTTATTATAGCGAATAAATCACTGTAGAATTATTTGAGATTGAGACAAAACAACTTGAGCTCGAACAAGAAGAGTTGAGTTTTATTCAATACTTCAACATACTATTAAGGTAATGGTTACAATTAGATATGTATGATACTTATGTATGGAAGTGACCACAAGATGCAATGATATGTAAAAGAAGAAGAGGATGATCAAATTTATATTTGGCCTAAATAAGAACCTATATGAGGTTACAGGGAAAATCATGGAGATAAAGCCTCTCTCTACCACTAAGGAAGCCTTGTTGAAGTTAGAAGAGAAGAAAACAAGAAGAAGCTCAAGATGTCAAGAAGGGTGGGTTCGTCTTGTATTGAAAGCTTAGCTTTGTACACACTGAACTCCTCCTATGAAGAATCATCCCTTGTGTGAACATCGTAAGAAACTGTCGCACAAAGGACAAGTGCTAGAAACTATATGGAACACCTGCATATTGGAAACCTGGGCATGGGAGGAAGGACCAAGATAGCAAGGCCCTTGTTGCTACCTCTTCTGAAGGGTTCATCGACCCCACCCTTGTCCCTTCACTAAGGAACCGCTGAAGGTATTAAAAAAGTTTCTTACTAGCATGACTTAGCAGCCTACCAGCTTGGTGATACACCAAAGTATCATATCCTCCTTTTAGCTTACTAACAGTGTATGATTTCGACTTTGGATAATAGAAGAGAAAACAGGGAGAAACTCATGATGGCGGGAAGTGTGGGTTTATCTTGCACTAAAAGCTCTGTTATGGACACACTCAACTCCTCCCATGATTCAAAGCCAAAGAGGAATCTTCCCTTGCTAGTGCTTGAAACTACATGGACAACCTGTAAATTAGAAATCGGGACAAAGAAGGAAGAACCGAGATGGCAAGGCCCATCCTGCTACCTCTTTTGAAAGGCTAGCCGACCCTAGTCCGTTCGCCAAGGAACAACTGGAGGTATTAATGACGTTTCTTACGAGCATGACGAAGCACCCTACCAGTTTGATGATACACTAAATTATCACATCCTTCTTCTATCTTGCTAATAATGGGCAGTTTCGAACTTGGATAATAGATTAAGGTGCTTTTGATCACATGACTGGAGGCATTCATGCTCTCACCAACTGTTGAGAGATCATCATTTAGCTTGACGATGGATCTCACTCCAGGATTATTGGGAAAGGATAAGTAATAATCTCCAAAGATATTTAGCTTTCATCCGTGTTATATATTCTCCAACTAAATTGTAACTTTCAATTAGCAGGCTTACTCTTAACTTAAATTGTGTTATTAAATTCTTTTCTAACTCTTGTGAATTTTTGGTGGTAAATTCATGGAAGGTGATTGACAGCGCTAAATTGCATCAATGTTTATACCTGTGATGCCCGAAATGCTGTGAAGTGACGACAACCACATAAGTATACGTGTCAATTAAGTAGCATATAAATTTGAGTCCGTGTATCGATCCTACGAAGAACTTGTTAAATTTCAAAATTAGGAAAATTTTTATTTAGCTGGTCTTAAATCTAGCTTGAAAAATTAAATTTTTGTGAATTTTTGAAAGTGACTAATCTAATTTTTGGAAAGAATTGAAAACTACCAAGTTTTAGTATTTTAATCAAGGAAACCTCACTTTAGTTGGACCTAGCAATTTAGCCATATCCATGTGAGTTTAATGTTGCTGACAACCATGAACAACAATATTCTTTAGCCCCTTATGGTGTTTTTAAAAATATTAGTGTTTATATAATTGTTAGTTCCCTAATCATACAAAAGCTCTCGTGTTTTCATATTTCTCTATGCAGTTGCACTACTCTAACAACAATATATGTATTCTCTTAAAGAAGTGTATGTTAACTTAATCGTTCAACTAATTTACTTCTGTAGTGCTAGACGACAACCTATTTTAATGTCTTAATTGGCCAGATGAAACAATGCGCGCTGAACCGTAATACCGTGCATATTGGCCCATGGGCTTCCAAAATTGGCCCTTGGGTGGGTGCCTGTTGCTCGAGTTTAGGGGACACAGAACTGGCCACCAGCCTATGCACCTAGTCCTCTGGTTTTGGGCTCCTGGGTGCCCAGGACTGGCACCTTTGCCCCTTGTCTTTTGGGTTTAGATGCTCCCAAGACTGGAGCATAGGTGGTGGTTCAACTTGTTTCTGAGTCTATTACATCGCTTTTGCTCCCCAAGTTTTCTAATTACCCGTACACTGCATATACAATCACAAAATCATGAAAAAGTATAAGAATGAATTGAATAATATAAAAATAAACTAGAAATATCATGCATATTTGATACATATTAAGGACCCCAAATTTACATATACTTGTAATTTAGAAATTTCAAAATCTAGAATTATAGTTTGAAAAAGGTTAGGATAAATTTTGGATTAAGGATTTTAGTGTTTTCTAACAATTCAATAAAATATATAAATCAAAATGCTCATGTCTCTCCTTTTGGTAGAATTTTCATAACAACTTCCTAATATCCCAATTTACTATTAATAATACTGGATCTATATTTTCCATTTTAACTCACTTATGTGAGGCCTGATTTCATGGAATTATTACTTCACACATAAAATTTTGTTAGCTACAAACTTAAATAATATAAATTTCGTTTTTCTATTTCTAAATACAAAATTTCGAGGAGAAGTTAGTGAAAGTTTTAATCCTCTAACTTATTAGAAATATTTATCAACACCAATTTTTAATTTGAGCTTAACATCAAGCTTCTCCTCATAGGTTCTTAAATTTTTGTTTGTAAGCATGAACCTTTTTTTATTTTTCTTTTGATTTTATGTTTCTTTTGTTTTTTATAGAGGATTATTGTATCTTGTTATGCTATTTTTTTAAATGATTTTAGCCTAAGTCAATTTTTTATGTTCTTCCTAATTTTTCAAAAAAATTGTAGTCCAAAAGATACTAAAATTCTAATCCTTTAAGTAAATAGGGATTAAATTTTATAGGGTTGAGATTTTGATTCTATAAATAGTCATATAGCTCCAATAAGACTTTATGAAAAATTATATAGATTAGGTATTACTGAAGTTATAAATCAGGTATTAGTGAGATACAAGTCACTCACACCATTCAAAAATTCCATATCCCTTTAATTTAAATTCTTTACTGATAATTGAAATTCATTTCTATCCTTATCTACTTCTATCCCTTTATTTTATATAAATTCTAAAATTAGAAATTTATGTTAACTTAAAAGGTAATAACTACAACAATTACTTTCCCTCCCAAACTTATTTTGCACTACACGTGCAAATAATAACATAACAAAAAAAATGTAGGATATCACATGAATATGTGAGAAATAAGTAAAATCAGTCACATGTGCTCACAAATTATAACTAATAAAAAAATACATAACAATAACCTAGCACTAATTAGCACATATAATCCATAAATATTCTAAACAGTAAAAAGATCAAAAGTCAGAATCTCAGGC